GCACGAGTTGATTAGGGACTGAAGTGTTCACCTTGCCGGCACACAAGGTGACACGTGGACAAGCCGATAAGGATAGATGAATGGATGTGGAGGGCATTGTGGACGCTACCAGGGGGCAAATCCAACACTTTAGGAAACGAAAGAGTAATGACACGTGTCAGTTGGCTGATGGGTCTTTTTTTTTTTTTTTTAATATCTGTTGTGTCAAAAATTTGACGGATTGATTCTCCAATCAAATACCGCATCTTTTTTTTTTTTTTTGCATCTTTTTTTCCCCCCGAGTCAATCGCATCTTTCAATTTCTTAAGCGTTGTGTGCGTTATAATCAAGCCGCCAACGATATTTTGTCAAAAAAAAAAAAAAAGGAGCTCTCTCCAGAGATTCCTATGGATACATATAGTAATTCACCGGTCAGATCAGTGCTACCGGTAATCACACATCAATGCATGCATTTCAAAATTACCCCTGTACTAACCGACACATAACCGGATTAAAAAGTGGATACGTGTCTGATATATATATCGTCACATGAAAAAAGAGAAATGATAACAAGAAAATCAGGAAAACATTTTCTACCATAACCAAAGAAGAGCCTGCTACTAGGTAGTACAGGCCCGACGCTCGCCGCATCATCTACAAAAGCAGAGAGCTAGCAACGTCGGAGTATATATCGTACATATATATTGTCACAAAATTATCAGAGCGCAAAAGCGAAAAGAAAACAGAAAAAAAAGAAAAAATAATAAATTCGTTTGTTTATCTTCTTCCTTACAACACCCCCTGTTCAGAACCTCTTGCGTACATAGGGTTCAGCCTCCTGATGAGTCTGTTGGTGAAACTCCGACGAAACAGTTTGTCACAGCCCCTCCCTCGTTTGTTGTCCTCTTCTCCCTCCCTCTCTCCCTACCCACGGTTTACCGGGCAGCTCTGTTTGACTATATATATCGTCAAATAGAACTGCCCGGTAAACCGTAGGCAGAGAGGGAGAAGAGGACAACAAACGAGGGGCTGTGACAAACTGTTTCGTCGGAGTTTCACCGACTCATATATATACATATCGTCACACCATGTATCGGAGCGCAAAGACGAAAAAAGACAAAACAAAAAAGGAAAGAAGGAAGGGAAGCTCAGCCTGTTCATCACCTCTTTTACGTACAAGGCCGGCCACGTGGGTATCGTCAAACAGAGCTGCCCGGTAAACCGTGGGTAGGGAGAGAGGTAGGGAGAAGAGGACAGCAAACGAGGGAGGGCTGTGACAAAGTGTTTCGTCGGAGTCTCCAGAATAATCCCCAAACTGATTACACCGTAAGAGATAATCCACCTTAACCCCGGTTCGTTGTGGTTAAGCATCAACGACTAGATGCAGAATAGTGAGAGCACCACGTAGACACAAGAGGATTTTTTTTCTTTCGTCCTCTCTCACACTTGGTTTTTCTCCTCCCTTCCTACCAACACCCCTCCCTTCTCCTCCCGCTCCCCCATTTTGTCTGCGATCGTCAGTTTCACAAAACCCGATCCCGATCTATGTTCTTTTCTTTTTTTTTTTTTTGAAGGACGACGGCCTTCAGGTATTATCATTAAGCTGACCGGCCCCAAACAATTCATTAGTAGTTGATTTTACTCATCAAATTCCATCATCTGGATTCGAACACAGGTCTGTATTTCAACAGTTCATTGGTGTACCCACTGAGCTAGGCTCTTGGGTCTATGTTCTTTTTTCAAAGTGATATTCATCTATAAAAAAGGCAGCGGGAAAAAAAAATACATACAATAATAAATAACAATAATAATAATAATAATAATAATAATAGTAAGGGCAGAGGGTGGAAACGGGGGGGGGGAAAAAAACACTTCGTAAAGAAGTCGATCAAAGGTGGCGGAAAAACGAAAATCCCAGAAAACAAAAACATAAGAAAAGAAACCGAAAATTCTAATGACATGCACGAGCCGAATACAAGAAAAGAAAAGAAAAAATTGGCGGGAAAAAAAAG